AATCTCCCAGGAAATATAATATTTCTAGCAGGTCGATTCTCCAGGCAGAGCTGTGCTGGGAAAGGAGGAGTTGAGGTTTACTCTATATCATTTTGTGTCCATTTCTGGTCCAATAATTAAATAAACAAAAGTATGAAAGCATGCCAGGAAAAGCAAATCACAGATTTCCGTGTATTTGAAAAGGGAGCATTTTCAGTCCTGATGTGCTCAGTGGAAGAGTAAAGTTATGACTGAAATGCACCTGGTAATTTTTCTTTATGGTGGAAATAATTTGGTGCAAAGAATTTGGAGCATATACTTCTACCCTGACCTATGTCAAAGGCAGTGGAATAGGAACACATACAGATACATATGTTGGAGACAGAGCCAAGAGACATCCTGATCTAGGATCTGTCTGCACATAACAGTTTTATATTTGCATCTGGGGAAGTTTGAATAAGTATGGCAGAAAGTTTAAGTGCAAGACATCCTGGTCACTACATACACATATATAACAGCATTGGTTACAAACCAAGGAACACTTCCTTGAACATACACTTGCATGGAGAGCTGAGAAAAGGCTCATCAGAAAAGTTAGATGTGTTGGGTTTTAATTTTCATCCGACAGAAAACATGAAAATTACTTCTAATCCTTTGTGCATCTCTTCTACAGATGACACCCTTCTACCTTTGTAGTGGAGTAGTCAAGTAATTGTCAAGTGTAGTCAGGTGAGCTGTACAGCAAAAAACATAGGTTTGGTGTTGAATAAAGTAGGTGTTAGGTGATAGCCTCAAATATCCATATGATCAGGAAGTTCAAGGGACTGACAATGTGTACTAAAAAAAACAAACAGGGAGTAGGAAAAAGGGGAAGAAGTCTAAAGGTTAAAAGATGACAAACACGTCCTTATGAACAGCAGCTTCCCAATCACCTGTGTGACTATGCAGTGGAGAATGTATGTTAAAAATTGTGAAATAAGTTAATGGCCAGCAGTAGGCTTAATTATGTTATTTATTTCGAGTCTAGTTTATCAACATTTTCATGCCTATAGAATATGCACTGAAAACTAGGGGGGGAAGCCAGTTATGAAGCATGTACAGCCCAAATAGTATTCTCTGAACTTGATTTCTGTTGTCTTTTTAGTTCATCCCAGACAGTCGTGGGAACCCTCATATCTGACTGACGTACTTCCTAAACCTCACTGCACACATCCCCTTGATAATGCATCCCCTTGATAATGATTTTTTCCCTGCGCACAATTAATATCTAAATATATGATATGTTTGCAGTATCACTGTGGATACGTGCACTCAGATTCCAAATTGTTGAATTACCCATTGCCACTGCCAGGAAGAATGTTCTTTTCTCTCTGTTGGTTAAAACACACTTCGCTCCATATTAGATTCAGGCTTGCCCAGGCAATCGATACATTTAGAGCTCCAGGATTAATCCATGTAATTCACATTTAAGCCAGGAAGTTGCCAAACTGGCACAGTGAAGACCTTCCACACAGCACTCACATTATTCTTTGCATCCAGTTGCATCCTCTTGTTTGAGGTAAACCTCTATGCTTTCAGAAAATTATTCTGAGTATCCTGAGGTTGTGAAAATGCATGAAGAAAGGCATGTGGCTGAATGCAAATAAACCCCCAAATCCTCAAATGGCATTTTAGTCTCCAGACTTTGTATTCTCCAGGTTGCTATTTTTAAAATGTCACTAGACACTTTTGATTTCCTAACTTGTATAAGTGTGATGGTAGTGTGATAACTTTTATGGCAGTGTCTAGGAGTGCTGGCTTTGTTTCTTGTTAGAAGAATAATATGTTAGTTCTGTCATTTGTGTGTGGAGAAAGGAAATAAGGTAGTGAGGACACTGCAGAAAAAAGTTTCATTGTGATTTGTTATAGGAAAAGAGTAGGAGTAACAAAAGGAGAGAAAAGTAGAAACAACAGAAAGATTGAAAGAATGCTTGTGTGTGTGTGTGTATAATACAGTTGAGTGTACTGTAGAAGGAATACAAGCACAGCCAAACTTTGTGTCTTTCATTTTGACAGAAAAGTGAGAATGCAACAGTGGAGACAGAGCAACCTTTCCAGGGTGTGAATGAGCACTGGTCTAACTTCAAATATCCCAGCCATAAGTTGGTTATGTGTTCTAGTCTGGGTCCATTGCACCTTGTGTACTCATGAACCCACAATTACAGTCGCTAGGTAGAGTTAAGAATTTTCACCATTTCATGCTAAAATGTAGCTCTTTTAAAAGGCCCCCTCAAACTCCTGTCAGTTCACCCTGCTAGATGTTTATGGAAGTTTTGCTTTCTAATAATTTGCAGTTTATAAATCATTCTGTGATACTGAGGAAAACAAAAGAGGGGAGTGTGTTTCAGCAAAAGGAAACAGAATTGTGTCTCTGTTTACAAATTCTCTAGCTGAGATGCTCTTGCATCTGTATACTTTGAAAAGGCCTATTAATTATTAAAGAAATAAAAAGGAAAAAAAAACTCTTTGAAGGCCTTTTAAATGCTGATACCACCTCTGACTTTGGAAATCCCTGAGTCAAAATCCTAGGGAGAATGTAGCTGAGAAATATCTTGTGTCCTGCTATTATACCTTCCCTCATCACCTGCAGTTGGCCACTTTCAGAGAGGGATTTGTGCTTTGACTGGCACAGATGCACTAATCTAGCCAAGAATTATTATGTTCAAATCACGGCTGTGACTTTTTGCTATGTTTATGGGAGGCCAGTCACATCTGGACAAGTTACATACCTTCAGTCACATCTGAATAAGTTACAGACCAGAAGTATTTTGAAGGCTGGTGATTAAAATTCTCTTAAAAGTTCATTAGCACTGAACATGATCTATCCCTAAAGTTTGTACATTTTGACTAGACCAAACCTGCTTTGCTCTGTTCAGGTATGAAAGAGGATTTCCTCTTCAGTTCCTCCTCGCTCTACCTCAGTTGTACCTCAGTTGTACCTCCTCGCTGTACCTGGAATGTGAAGACAGTAACACCACTTACCTCAGAGGCAATTGCATATCATGGGCTAACGTGACAGCTCAAAGGTAGGCTTGCTTGGAGTGTAGGTGAGGTCATGCAAGGTAGCTAAAGGAAGAAACTATGTACCCTGTGTACCTTCATTTACCATGGAACATGCAGGAATGTGAGCAGATAGCACAGCTGTTTCACCTTAGGTTTTTCTGCAGTAACCAATTTCTCTGCCCATGCAGAGTCAGGAAAAGACATAGACAACAGTCGTAAAAATTTATGGGGCAAGTTCATACCATTTTATTCAGTGATGCATTTAACTGATGAGTGGCATGAGGCCACATACTGAATGCTGAGAATGAATAAAAGTTTAAGTGGCAACTCATCCAGTGACCATCAAATTGTTTTCCAATCCTTGATATTTGGTATAATTTCAATATACTGCATGAAGCAAAGACCTTAGTCCAGATATGTAGTGATGTAATAATATTATGACACATATGAAAAAGAAGGTTGAATTACGATAACATGACCAATATTTATTTTTGTTGCTATATTGTGCAATTTTTATGTTTTCCAGCACATTTTATGATAGAAACTAACTGCCAAAGCCCTAATTCAACATATTTAGAGAAGAGATTAATTAACTTTCTAAGTACAAGTAATGTGACCATGTATCTGTTTTGCCTGTGCTACCTAACATCCCTTCGTGAACAACAAAAAATCTGTGAATCACCTCAGTGGGAAATGGTAATTTTAAAAAAGAAATAATTTCGTAAATTGCAAAACCTGTCTTTTTTTAATTAAAAAAAAAAAATCAAACTTGAAGCCCCAATTGTTTTCTTGCAATGAGTTTTGTGGAAGTGATTTAATCTTGCTGTGAAATAGTTATTCTGGCAGATATTTTCCAGCTTTGTTGTTTAAATCTCCTTACAATGACAGCTATAATAGGAAAAATTAATGTGCGTAAATTACAGCTAAAAATGGCTTTCACTTTGAATATGAATAGGGACCTAAAGGCTTTGTACAGAGAGTCTAATTTTTCATCTACATCTAGATACGAATCTCTCCCTTTTCGCGCTTGCGGGCAGAGAAGTGCAGCCAGAAGCACCAAGGAAAGCGATATCACTACTCCAGGCTTCTCTGCGTCATTTAACAGCGTTGCTGTCATCTTTACGTCTTCTCGAAGATCAGGCAATTGCAAAGTTTACGCACTATGCTAAAAGGAGAGAAGCGAAACATGGCGGGCGCGTCAAGCCCCGCCCCTCCCACCGGGGCGGGGCTTGGGGCTGTCAGCGCGGAGTGCGCCTGTGCGCTCCGCCCCCCTCCCGGAAAGGCGGCCACGTCTGCCGGAAAAGATGGATCCGAAAGAATCCGATCTGCCGGCTCGCGGCCCGCGGCCCCGCCGTACTGACGCTCCCCGCCCCCCTCACGGCTCCGCTCGGGCCCCCGCGCTGGAGGAGGCTGATGGCAGGGCTGTGCCGAGGCGCTCTTGAGGGGGGGAGGCCCGGGGACAAGCGCGGCTGAAGGAGAGGGGCGTGGGAGGGGAAGCGGCCCCTCCTGAATTCAGTCCTGGGGTGAAGGGGCCCTTCCAGGGGACTGGGATATGGTGGTGTCGCAGGCCCGCGCAGCTGCCCGCCGTGGCGGGGTCACGGGAGGGGCTGTGCAGTTTGTAGGGGAGGAGCCCCTCTGTCTGAGCCAGGTTGGGAGTCTGCCGGCCAAACATGTAAGGCTTAGTTGTTTTCTGTTAGTGTGATAATATTCCATAGCGGGTGCTGATGCTCAAAACAGGTGCAGTGGTCTGATTTTTTGCTTTTAAAGCTTTGGTTTAAAAGCCTTGCTTTTGTCTGTTTTTTCTCAGACATCAGTTACCATATTTCCATCAGTTACCATAATAGCAAGATAACTAAACGAGTAGGAGTAAGGCTTTAAAATAACTACAGCACTAATAGATTAACACAACAGTTGTTTAGGTAACCCACACATCTTGTCTTAGCAACACTAGTCTGATTTGTAATCATTCTATGTCTTTTGCAGCATATGGTCCCAAAGTTTTAATTGTACAGACTTTATCAACAGCCACCCATCATGTCCTGGCTTGTTGATCTCGCTGGAAAGGCGGAGGATCTACTCAACAGAGTTGATCAAGGAGCTGCATCAGCTCTGAGCAAAAAAGACACATCAAGCAGTGCAGTTTATGATAATAAGAATTTGAACTCTGCCAATGAATATTCTGAAGTGCACCAGCATACTGGAGAACTGAAATATCAGACATCATCCAAAGCAGCCTACATCTCATCAGCAGCTGATAACATTAAACATCAGAAGGCCACAATCCTGGCAGGAACAGCAAATGTTAAACCAGCACGTAGGACGTCCTCAGAGGCTGCTTCTCCAGTAGAAAGTGTTTCCACACCCAGAGCTGCCTCGCATTTTGTGAGAAGAAAAAAGTCAGAACCTGACGATGAGTTGCTATTTGATTTTCTCAACAGTTCAGAGAAAGAGCCTAATGGAAGGATGGACTCTAAAAAAGAGAAGAGCAAGGCACCTGTTCTTCAAAATCACTCTCGGACTTCAAGCATTAGTTCTGTATCTACCAGTACACAGAGTGCAAAAACTAATGAAGATAATTCCATCAGGAGCCAAGGCAATGGTAGTTAAATAGTCTTGAACCTAGAGATATTTAAAACCCAGTATGTCTAGGGTAAGGCTAGGTAATGGATTTACTGTCACTTCATGAAACATTTAATGGTAGTGATATGTCAAATGTGTGGGATACAGCAGGGCCTTTCACATTTTCTCATCACTAGGATAATGTTAGAAACCATGCTAATTTCACAAACTGCATAATTAATGCCTAAATCTTTTGTGTTTTGGATATACCTTGTTGCTACTGCTCTCGTTGACCTCCCTGTGCTGTGACCTGAGCTGGCATCAGCTCCCATATGTCCCCATATAGAAGCACAGGTGCTGCCTCATTGGTTTGGTCACTCAGGGGTCCTGACCTGCTGTTGCTACATAGGAGAATGAGTGACTTTGACCATGGCTAGATGGTGCTGGCTGCTGCCCAGTGCACCACGTGGGATGGTGTGAGGGTGAGCTGACAAACTTCCTGGTCCTGCGGAGTGGAAAGTTGGATGTGCGTAGGCTGTTGTAGAGCTGCAGGCATGAGAGAGCTAAATAGGTAAAGCCTTTGGATTGCCAGAAGCAGTTCATTACTGCAGTCTAAATCCAGAGGCCTGAAAGAGCCTCCAGGCCAGCTGGTCAAAAGATGGGGCTATTCCCAAATCAACAACACAAAGGAGAGTGTGGCTGGGAAGTGTCAGGAACTTGCATTCTCTATCAGACTGTCCATTCTATACTTAGTCCTTCTGCTGCTGTGCTGCTTTGTTGTTGTTTATTCTAGAAAATTGAAGGAAGTGGTTATTTCTTAATAATGTAGTTAGAATACTTCGTTATTTATTAAGTAATTTGAGCATGTAAACCATTGTAAATGTCAGGTTTTTACTTACTACATTAAGTATGCTGAAAAGTTTTAGACGTAAAAAGGGATCACTTCCAAAGATGTGAATATTTTTGTATTTCTGGGTCTGTAACTTTTCAGTAGTGTTTACTGCTAATAATAAATAATTCAAATATGTTAGACCTGGCTATATGGCCTTGCTGATTGGTGCTTAAGAAATATATTTATTTTGCTCAGTATGGCCTGTTGACTTCTGAGGATTTTTGAGCAGAGTTTGCATTGTGGAGCTGCAAAATAAGAAAGTCACAGTTACAACATAGGGTTTGAGCATGCTGGTTTCAAAGTTGATTGTACAGATGTCTGTGCCATTTAATTATTGAGTATAGAATCTGTTAATAGACAAAAACAACTAACATTATACTTTGTATATTGCCACAGTTATAATCTAATCTGTGCTATAAATGGCTAATTTGTTTCTTCATTAGTCTATTGAGTTTTCCAGACAAAGAAATGAGGATAAATTGTCTCATAATTTGGAAACTGTGTAAATAAATCAAAGAGAAGATAATGACACTTCTTAGAATTGTTCAAGTAGGAAAGGGGGTTGAGAAAATGTGGAGAAAATCTTCCTGTCACTGCTGCTACTTGTGGGTGTGGTGGCATTCAGAATTCATGGCATGCCCCATTTCCCTGGGCTTGGGGTTATAGGGGCTGTTGCAGTGGTAACAAGGAAGGTAAGGCAGCTTGGTTGGCAATCACAAGGTGAAGTAAATAATGTTTTGGCAACTGAACTGCAGTCTTTATTGACATTAGTTCCAGTCTGTCCGCCTGGATTTTCAGCAGTTACTCCCTTGAGAGTAACTAAATTCAGAAGTAATATTTTTGGATTGCCTGCTGTTTGTTCATTGTGTGCTGTGTCATTTTGTCTTAAAACTGATGCAAAGCTTCCAGATATCTGCATGCTGGAATCAAGGCTCTTGCAGTGGATGTTTAACTTTCACAGCATTAATCAAGGACACTCGGTGTGTTTGTGCATGATGGGGAAAAGGCTGTTGGTTCCTCCTTCCATGCAAGGGACTGTAATTCAGAATACTGCCAGGACTTTCCTTATTGTTCTCTTCTAAAATAAAATGTTTATCCTCAGAATCTGAATGGAAAACCAGAATGGGCTTGTACTAAAAATTCCCCTAGTTAGTTGCTATGAGTATTTAATATTTTCTGTTACTCTTCAGATCCTGAGGACATTTCTGAGTAGCAAAGGTATAAAAAGAGTGTTAATGTTTTGAAATCCTAAATTTGCCATTAATGTAATAAGAAGTTTTATAACTTCCATGTCTTGTCTTGCAGGATTAACAAAAACACTGCATGGCACATATGTAATAGTCCTGCTTTGTGCAAGTCCCTTGTGAGAAGCAGCTCCACATTCCATTTCAGTATAAACTATTTTGATTATTATTATTTAACCATTGATGCAGAATATGGAGTTACTGTTTATATAAAGGCCATTTACAAATACGTATATTAGTTCTAACTGGCATCTCTCCATTCAGAAACTCCAGACAGTTCAGACTCTGGACTGGGAGCACAAGGGAACGGCGTGAAGGATTCTTCACCAAGTGCAGTAACTAATCCTGGCCTTTCCTCTAATGATGATTTGAAATCACATGAGCTCTCCAATCTGCGCCTGGAGAACCAGCTGCTGCGAAATGAAGTGCAATCTTTAAATCAGGAAATGGCTTCGTTAATACAGAGGTCCAAAGAAACACAAGAAGGTACTTCAACTGTAACATTAGTAGAACACCAGTGGACTAGAAAATAATGCTCTTTTTTTGTTATTTGTATTTATAATAGAATCTCACTAGTTACATTTGCATGTATGACCTACCAAGTAAAATGATTCTTGGTTTCAGAATAAGGAAATGGTAGAAACTAAAACTTGTTTAACTACAAAGATAAAACAAATGTTGATTAAAATAATGTGTTCAAGTTAGTTATAAAGCTTACGTCATATTAAAGCAGTGGTAGCAAATACCATTATTAAAATACTTTTTCTGCATTTTGGTGGTCATTGCAAAATATTTTAAAATGAATAAATTCTTTTAAATGCTTCAAAATCTGACTACTTTCTGCTGTTTCTGTTGATTTCTACTTCAACTTGGTTGTACTTAATTTTTTTCTTTAAGAAATGAGATATGTGCATCCTGATTGTTTACAAGACCTTGTGATACCTACTTTTATAAACTTCAAAGAAACTTCTTATTTTGTAGAACTGAACAAATCCCGTGAAAAGGTCGAGAAGTGGAATGTTGATCATTCAAAGAGCGACAGGATGGTTAGAGAACTTCAGGCTCGAGTTGATGATCTGACAGAAGCTGTTGGTGCCAAAGATTCACAACTAGCTGTGCTAAAAGTACGGTTGCAAGAAGCTGATCAGCTCTTAAGTACTCGGACAGAAGCTTTGGAAGCACTGCAGAGTGAAAAATCACGGTACTTTGTAATTCTGCAAATAGTAATAAGTTTGAAAATTCAAGGTAGATAATTCAGTCTCTTTAAGAAAAAAATAAGCTAATGGGAAAGGGATTGTAACAAGATTTGAAATATGAGGATTAAAGTTTGCTCTGAGCCTGCTATTATCATAGTTGGCAGTGGGAACAGGGCAAATGAGTATAAAATTGGGGGCGTTGGCAGTTGGTTATTGAAACCAATTTTGTAAAAAGTGTTTGTTTGTGTCAGAGGCTGGAACTGGAAGGTCTCAAGAAGTATTTCTTTTTCTTGAAAAATACACTTGCTTATCCACAAACATGAAGACTTTTCTGACTTATCTCAGTGCTGGGATATGAATCAGCAATTGTATACTCCAGAATATAGGTCAGGGAGGTGTGTGAGTCATTAACTCCACGCCTCACACCTGTAGTCAGCCAGATGCAGTAATTTACTGGGTAAATTTTCAAAGCTGGTCTGGAAAACAGGAAGTTATATTTCTACCTGAAAAATCACACTAGCTTTCTTCTTTTTAAATTAATATTGTTGCTCTTTCAGGATCATCCAAGACCACAGTGAAGGTAGCAGTTTACAAAATCAAGCCCTTCAAACTCTTCAGGAGAGGCTGCGTGATGCAGACTCCGCGCTCAAGCGAGAACAAGAAAGTTACAAACAAATGCAGGTTAGACATGAAGAGTAAGAAAGACTTTTAAGACTCTACTTTTGAGATCAGATCTGTGGGGTTCCAAGTGCTCTCTCCTCCCTTTGACTTCAGTTCCCATTCAGGGCACTAATTGCTTGAAAGGATGTGCTGTCTGCTGCACTAAGTATCCTTGTGATGCTGATCTACCTATGTTACTTTACAAGCTTCATGCGTAAAAGTTTTTGAAGATTCATGCTGACAAGTTTTACTGTTTTTTTCATGTTCCTAATGTTACTACATGTTTTAAAATTAAATCAGTAATCAGTTTATTTTTTAATGCTATGTTGTTATGGAACTTATTGTTACATAATTTTACTGTGTAAAGATGTGAATACATCATTGCTAGAGACTATTTTCCACACTTAACTTGGCCTTTGTTATATGTAATAGCATCTTTGAAAATATTTATCAGTGTTTGTTTTGGTGTTTTTTAAAGTACTTCAAAATGTGTCAGGCAACATTTAATATTTTTTTAGGAGAAAACTTGCTTTTTGTTTGCTAAACAAATGTGAATAATAGGAAGGTTGTTATTCCCTCACTATTTCCGGTGAGGGAAAGAAATGCATATTTCTACTGACATCATTTACTACTTACTTAAGCAAACAGAATTTCTTTTGACATAATACTAATGCATCTTTAAATTGGAGGTGGTAGATATGAAGTGGTGTGCCCTGTGTAGTTGCTTTTAAACTTTCTTTTTTCCTTTCTAGGTTAAAGTTGAGACTGTGTTTAAACACAAAGTATTGTTTCTTTATTGCTAATAGAATGAGTTTGCTGCTCGTCTAAGTAAAGTGGAAGCAGAACGTCAGAACTTGGCAGAAGGGATAACTGTAGCAGAGAGAAAGTTTTTAGATGAAAAGAGACGAGCTGATGAGCTTCAGCAGCAAGTCAAAGTAACTAAAAGCCAACTAGAATCTGCAAAACAGGAACTGACAGACTATAAACAGAAAGCTACTCGCATTCTCCAAGTAAGCATTTTTGTGAAGAAATACAGTTTGATTTGCGTGCTTTAACTTTTTTAAGGTGTTATGCTTCAAATAATATAATTTGTGGGGATTTTTTTATGTGACCTGTAATGTGTTTTGGGGTATATCTATAATGATACCTATAAAGAACAGCTAGCAGTCTGCACTTTGTAAATTTAAATTTATAGATGGAGTTATGGGATTGGAATGGCAGTTCAGGTTCTGAACTTGAAGAAAAGTGCAAGTGAACTGTTGCACTTATTGTGCAACATCTGTCAGTGTGTTCTGCATCCAAGAGTCCAATCTTAGGCAGATAGTTAAATAGATTAAACTTAAAATTCGTTTCATCCCTGATATTCCTGATTCAAGAACATTGCTCTGTCCTGCTTGAGGCTGAAGCCTAACATAGAGTGGATACTTACATGTAACCAGAGAAAATACTTTTCTGTGTCCTGAAAGTTGTGTGTGATCAACATTATATAATGAATGGCAAAATCAGGTATTTTGTGCAGAGTTCTGTACTACTTAAATTGTCAAAGATAACAAGTCCAAACATGGACGGTTTGAGTCTTGTTTTTAAATGTTAGCAAGATGTTGAAGATGGAGATCTCTGTTTAGAATAATTAATTTAGTCTAATGTCCAAGGACAGGTTTTAAATCAGTAAATATGGAAAGCCTGAATCACAAGTCCATGTCAAGCTAACTCTGAATAAAATGGTTTATCCTCTTTCCTGAGAGAGTTATTGCTGTATTTGATTCTTAGCTGGCTTCTGTTGTCAGGAGAAAGGACAGACTGAAAGGGGCTCGGTTCTGCCTTTAGTGTCTGTTAGTGTATGTCTTCTCTGTTATGGTAGTTGAAGAGCCAAAATTCAACATTCCAGACACTTTTAAAGAGAAAAGCTGTACTCTTCCTTAGAGGACTCATGCTTTCAGTAAATCTAGTCTCATGGTGTACAGGGAACCAGAAAAATTATCAGTAGGGAAAGATTTTCATTTTCAAATGTGTAATGTGTATTAACTTGGCTAAAAGAACAGATAAAGCAGTTTTTTACTGTATGTCTACATTAGAATTTTAGACCAAAGTAATTTCAGCATATTCTAGTGGAATACTTTTTAAATCCTGCTATAAATAATATATTGATTTATTATTTCAGTCTAAAGAAAAGTTGATAAACAGCTTAAAAGAAGGCTCTGGTATTGAAGGCCTGGACAGCACTACAGCAAGCACAATGGAACTGGAAGAACTGAGACATGAGCGAGACACTCAGAGAGAAGAAATACAAAAGCTACTGGGGCAAATACAACAGATGAGAACAGAGCTGCAGGTAGCTATGCTTATGTACACGTGTATTTGTACTTAGCTATGACAAAGGACTGTTTTCTTGTATACCGTGGGTCTGTTGTTTCTAGTATTTATTACCTTACTTCTTTCTTCCCTCACTACTTTTGAGAGAAGCATTTCTTTCCAAACAAGCATGGCAGTTTCTGTACCTATATCCTTTTCTGCAAGGACTACTAATCCTTGAAGCAACGTAATCCAAGTCATCTGCTGGCATAACAGGCTCAACCCAACAGCTGCACAAAAGCCTACTTTGCACAGTTTTAGCCTGTAGACAGTAGGAAGGAAGAAGTGGAGGATTTTCATGTTCACAAAATGCATTTATTTTATTACTGTATTAGTAAAAATATTCTGTATAAAATGACAAATGTCATTTATCCAATACATCCTCAACCTTCCATTTCCTCTGAAGCAATATTGCATATACTACTTTTTTTTCCCTTTCCCATTACCTATGACAGATTGCAGAAATGTTTGAGTGTTAACAAAATGGTTACATTTCTGTTCATTTCAGGATATGGAGACGCAGCAGGTAAGTGAAGCTGAGTCAGTGAGAGAGCAGCTTCAAGACCTACAAGAGCAGATATCAGCACATAAAATGGCCAAGCAAGAGGCAGAAGCTGAACTAGAACGGCAAAAACAGGCAAGGAATTCTTGAAAGTTTATTGATCTTATTTTAGGCCCCATGTGGTGTCATCAGCAAAGCATTTGGCTTAATAAGAGAGTAGCTTATACAATGTTTGGGTTATTTTTTTTTAGTATTCCAGAGAAATCCCCAAAAGCTTGCTGAATGTCACTTGGCCAAAGAAAGCACAACCAGGACTAAGCAATGGTCAGGGCCTTCTGAATACTCCTGATGAACAGAGATCTCACTGATGTATTAAAGAATAAACAGGACCTTAGGAAGTGCACAGAATTGGTCAGGATCTTAAATTTTATTCAGCAGGGAATAAGTCAAACAACAGGGATATAGTAACACTTGCAACATTATTTATATCAAGAAACTAAATACTGGAAGTGGTTACTGTGGAACTTCCCATGCTCAATTAATACATAAGTTTTAACTCATAAAACAATGTCACTGTCTTGGAAGTTTATAGATTTTTTTTTTTTAATCCACGTGAATCTAATCTGAATCTAGATGTTGTTACTTCCAAACTGCTCTATTATTACACAATTTGCTGATAAAATTATGTTAATGAATTTCTTCAGATTTTGTCATCTTTTTGAGTAAACTCAGCCTTGATTTAACCAGTTTTGTGCAAAAAGAGGGCAGAAAAAAGACAAACTCATCTTTCTTGTGAACAACTTATTGTTCAATAAGAATTGAACAAATACTTTGCACCTTGTTAAAAAATTTCTTTGTAAGGAAAAGCTCATATAAAGAGAATTAATAATGAGGAAAGCAGGAGTACACTGTATCTACTGGGAACAATTTATCTAACAGGATTATCTGTTCTTCCAGAAATTACATTTTAATGAGATGCTCGCAGCTTGAACTAATTAAAAGGCAGAAGTCGAGGTCTGCTTTTGATGGGTAGCTAATGTTTATTAGGTCAAAGCAGATGGTAGATGGTATTTTGTTACTCCTACCCTTCTGAGAAATATGCTTTAAGTCAATACTACCTAGAGAAAGAGTGAGGTGAATTAGAAAAACCTTATCAGTTATTGCAGAAACTGAAGTATTCCTTTTGATGACACACCTTTACATGTGCTTTTAATGTAATTGTTTGTGTTGGTACTTAATGCAGTTATGGTCAGTGCTGGCTGGGAGTTCCTTTAATTATTACCAAAAGGTTTCTGAAACTGAAGGTGGAAAATAAGGAGAGGTGTTATTTTTTGTACACCTGCTGATTCAAAGGGAGAATAGATTATCTGTTTTCTGTAGCAACTGACAGCTGAAGTTATAGTGATTTGAAGACTGTCTTAATTTAAAAGATAAGCATGATAGGTCTTTAAGTGGGAGCTAAAATAGCCACTAAATCATGGAAGTAACAAAACTTATGGTTAGATTTCTCTTCAGTAATTTGTTTCTTACTAATATTCCTCCCCCTTTCACAAAATGACCTGAGGTTGTGTCAGGGGAGGTTTAGGTTAGATATTAGAAAAAGATTCTTCACCCAGAGGGTGGTTGGGCTCTGGAACAGGCTCCCCAGGCTCCAAGCCTGACAGAGTTCAAGAAGTGTTTGCACAATACTCTCCAGTATGTGGTGTGACTCTTGGGGATGGTCCTGTGCAGGGCCAGGAGTTGGACTTGGTGATTCTTGTGGGTCCCTTCCAACTTTTCACATTCTGTGATCTGCTATGTTAATTTATCCTACACCTTAAAGGAAGATGTGTGTCATACAGAATTATAGATAGATATGCTAAGGGTTTTTAAATACTTTTAAAAAATGGTATTTTGAATTAATGAGTTTATTTTAGGAATACAGACTCCCTACAAAGTATTTCGTAATTGTTGCATTATTGACATAGTTTCAAGATAGCAACATAATAAATGATGAAAGTGTAATGAAGATAAACTGTAGTCCTAATGAAATTGTGTGACTCTTAGTAAACTACTCTGGATTAATATTTATATTAGGTCAGTCTCCACAAAAGAATTTAATTGGTCTTGTAGGTTGTGTCTTCATACTCAGCTTTGTCTTTCCCCCTACCCCCCCTATTCTAGTCAGACACTTAACTAAGATTAAATTTCAGTTTGTATTTGATTACAGCATATTGCTTCCTTGTGTTCCATTGTGAAACTCTAGATAAGAGATCGTCACTCAACATACTTATATGTATAAAATCTTTTATTTGTAATTGTGGTGAATTTTATAGGAACTCCATTATACCGAAGAAGAACTGTATCGAACAAAGAATACTTTGCAAAGCAGGATAAAAGACAGAGAGGAAGAAATTCAGAAGCTCAGAAATCAGGTGTGTAGAGAAAATAATTTTATAACCTTCAGTTATAAAAACAGTGATGGGAACTATTAATATGACTAAACTGTCCTGAAAAATCCCATAAAGGTTCTACTTGGGAATTACAGTGTATTTGTTTCCAATACAGACTAGAAGGGAACCACGTAGAGTAAATAGCCTAATTTATAGTTGTATGTGCTTTTATATTTGGGGGTGGTAATTAACCTCTGTCCCAACTAGACCTGATGGGTGATGTTGGATCAACATTCTTCTTTATGAAAACTAAAAGAACTCATTGGAGTTTGATTAGGTCATTACGATTTCATCTAAGATCATTATAACTGGGCATAAGAACCTAAGTTACATCCTACAAACTCAGTGATCCATCTGCTGCTCTGTGTTGGACAGTGGCAGTTAGGGGCCAGCATGTTTTGGCCACTTCCTTCCCTCCCTTGTACCTGCTCACCTGATGGTTGGGGACATTAGTGTTGTGAGTCTCTACTAAATCCCACTGGTATGTTGATGGACCTATTTTTCTTAAATCGGTCTAATCCCTTTTGGCACCTTCTGGTACTTGTCAACCCCCAGTCCCCTTGAGCAGCATGAAGGCATAGGCCTCATTTTGTGCATATCTTAGCATGATGAAAAGTAGTCTGTATGTAGAGAAATTGATAGTCTGGAGTCAGCTATGGTCAAGTGTGCAGTTATAGTGTCAGAGGGTTTGGAAATTGTGTTGTGATAAAGATTTCTTGAGCATGTTGGCAGACTTGTCTGGTAATGCTGGCTTCAGGGCTACCTGCACCTGCCATGTTGCAGGCATCTAATTTGTATTTTGGATAGCTGTCATTCCTGATGATTGTTTTTCATCATTGAAGCTCTATCTGTGTGGTATATGATGTCAATAAGTGGCTGAGGTTCGAGACTGTAGTGAATAGATGAGGTATTGCACATATGGCAGATCTGGTGATTCCCCTTTGCTTTAAATATTTTCTGCAAATATAATGACATGATCCATGTCAAATGCATGATCCATTTGCTGTCCTTGCAGTTTCTATTTGCTAGTACAATCATGTTTCTGCCTCAGTGCTTCTCAATTCTTCTGCAACATATCCTGCATTTTCACCATTTCATTCAAGTTTTCCTGTAAAATTGGCATCAGATTCTCTGCATCTATACTGAGTTTTTCCTTCCTCACTTGAAAACATGTTATGTAGTTGAAGTTGCAAGTGTAGTAGCCAGACTGGATTAGCTTGCTATTGTCATGCCTACCTCTGAGGCATAGCATTGATTTTATGATTAAACTTAGGGTTAGACAGAAAAGTTCATATGATTAGAGGTGGATAACAGAGAAATATATTTTTACATAGAGTTTGTTGTGTCATGTAAAATCTTGTTTTAGCAACTGTTGAAATGAAGTTTCCTGTTTATTGTGCTCATTACTGATAGTTTTGATAGCATTATCCTGAAAAAATTCTGCAGTGGAGTAACTTGGTTCTTGAAGGCTTAGATCATTATTGAGTTTTGTAATATGTCAGTTGGTCAGACATTGAACTTAGGCTGATTTTTTTTTTGTTTTTGTTTGCTTTTTAGCTCACAAACAAGACTCTAAGCAGTAGTAGTCAGACAGAATTAGAAAATCGGCTTCATCAGCTGACAGAAACACTAATTCAGAAGCAAACCATGTTAGAGAGCCTGAGCACAGAGAAAAACTCACTTGTGTATCAACTGGAACGGCTTGAGCAACAGCTGAAGGCTATCCAAGGCACTAGTGCTAATGGACCTTCCATTAATATGGCAGGCATTGATGGTGCTGAAGGTAAATAAGGAAATATAATATTTAAAACTCTTGTCTTTTTTGCAGTTCAGGCTTTTATATTTCCTAATGCCTTTCCCTGAATGAGTCTGTAAGGAAAAATAAATGCTGAAAATAGGCTGCTTATGCTAGAGACCTTAGTAACTATAGTCTACAGCAGCCAGTATTACAAAAAATAGTTAACTAGAAGCTCCTTTTTGTGTCTAAATGACTTTAAGTCAATTTAATAAAGCCAATGTAATCTTTAGTTCTCAGTGCTATGGCATTATTGGAACAATCCTCTCACAGGTGCAAATAAACCCATCTCTTGGGGCTTAAGCCGAATATCAGAAGCAGGATCTAAGTATTCTCTTTTAAAGAGGGTTTGGGAGCAAGAATGGGATACTTCCTTTTGAGAACTGATCAGAGGTCTGGTTGAAATTAATTTTCTCCTTGCTTTCTGTTTTTCTTGAAAAGCAGCTTAAAATTCAGTGGTTCTGTTGAGGTTGGTTTGTCTGACTTGTATCTCTGGCAGAACCTCAGCAGTTGATTCATGGTGTTGAGATGTTACTTTTCAAAATTTGTCATTTTTTTATATATGTCAAGTAAATTTTAAAAGCAAGGGACAATTACTAAGAGCTGTAAAATGACTGACCAGATGTTTTTAATAAAGCTGGTATATAGTAAAAATGTAAATAAAGTAAAAAATTTTTGAGTATACAAGTTAGTGTCAGAAATGCTAATCGAAGTTTTACTGTATGAGAAGTAAAAAAATTTGAGAAAGTGTAATAGTATCAAATCCATCATTTTATACACCTAGTAATAGTTACGACTTGATAGAATTGAATATCAGGATACCAATCTAGTGAACTTAAAAAAAAAATACTAAGTTGAAGAAACATGGGACTTGATTGTAAGTTTATTGAGAATTCCATTTTCAAAACATGCTTCTCTGCCCCCAGCAAGACGACAGTACAATCAAATTAATCACTATTTTTATATTATTTTTATATGTCTTTGTTATACATTATCAGTTTGTTTTCTTAAGCAACACTTTAGCTAATGGGGGTTTTTTTGCTTTTTTCCCTTCAAATAGGTGCTCGTATGCGTAATGTTCCTGTCCTGTTCAGTGACGTGGACACCAGCGTGGCAGGAATGTATGGGAGAGTCCGCAAAGCTGCGAGTAGCATAGACCAGTTCAGGTAAGAGTGTCCTGAGGGAATGCGTGTTGTGGTTGCTGTAATCCTTCCACAGTTTTCAGGTGACACACTTTCTTTTGTATTGCTCTTACGAAGGTAAAAGTTAAAAATAATGCAGCTAAAGTATAGTATAAATTACTAAATGTTAACCTACTTGAGCTTTCCTGTAACGTTAATGTTCTTGGGCTTTTTCAAATTATAGATACAAGAGGATCACTAGACTATGGACAAAACCATCTAACCTTTTTCATTACCATCTTCTGTGTTTTTTACTTACAGTTGTGTCTGTGATAAACACTGTAAGAGTGTATTAGAGGGGGAGTATCATCTGTACTCTTGTAGTCCTGTTTAGGCATCCTGATGAAGACACTGGTTTCTGACCCAGTGTATCTGTTTACCTTGAAAGATAATCTATTTGAGGAATTAGTAAATGAAAGTCATTCTGGATCCAGTGAAAGACTTGCTTTTATCCTTTTTCTGAGCAGTTAGATTAATTGTCAGTATTCAGAGCAAAGGTCTGCTACAAAACTTGAACCAAATACCAGTAGAAAACAAAATTAGGCAATACTTAATCCTTTGATAGCAAGATACCTCAATAGAAAGTCCTTTGTGCATCCATGGTACCTGAATTCATTGTGAAGGATATCAGGATTTCCATTACTGGGACCTATTGTATGTAATGTTTCAATTCTGAACTTCATTTGACAGTATTGTATTCCCTTCCATACATGGAACTGTCATTGCTGAGCAATGAGCAGTGCACACATGTAATGGAGTTACTTTGAAGCACTGTAGCAGTAACCTTGCAAAACCCAAGAGCTTTTCAACTAATGATCTATAAGAATAGTAGTAATGTATTGTGTTTTCCAAAGGAATCCAAGCTTTTAGTTGCTTTGATATATCAGTTTTTTCAAAGGCATCCAAGGTTTCAGTAGCTTAAATTTTTTTGAAAGATTCATGACAGCTCTTCAGGTAATGAAATTTGACAAATACAGAGCATATTTGTGTGTTTTAAAATGCCTGTACACCTCTTGAGTCCTAATTGTTTTTCAAAAACTCTGGGCCTTGCATGTAAGAGGAAACAATTAGGAGAATATGTTTTATGGTTTGAATTTTCTAACTCCACTTAATCTTCCGAGTACATGAAGTAAAATTCAAGACATAGCAAAGCTATGTGTGTAACATCTGCTCATGTTTGACTTTGTGATGACTGGCATGAGAGGAACAGGAATTTATTGCTCAGTGTTAACTTGTGCCTTTTGTTTTCTCTTGTACCTGTGTAGCATTCGGCTGGGAATCTTCCTAAGGCGGTACCCCATAGCAAGAGTCTTTGTAATCATTTACATGGTGAGTCAGCTTTCTTTAAGGCAAGACTTCTGTAGCCAGTTTATATGTCTTAAATAGCCAGACTGATGTTCAAAAGGCTATATCATTAACAATTCAGTGTGGGTTTTTTAAAAAATGGAACTAAATAATACTTATGTAACAGCTTTTTGGAGTCATGTTGCTTTCCAATTTTCAGTTTTTCCCAGGAATTCTTAGTATAGCAGTCTTAAGGACACTTATGTAACTATCATTTAAAGGACTGTAAAAGCAGATTTCTAGTAGTAAAATACAGAATAATAGTGACCAGTTGCCAAGGTTAACCCACTACACCTGCATGCACCACATTTAGAAAAACGACATCTGCTTAGAGCTTTTGTAATATTTGACTCTTTGCATGTTTTTTTTTGGTGGCTAATGGTCACTCTTCTCTAGTAGCTGAAAAAGTAGCAAGAAAAGTTTTTCTTGGCAGACTTAACCAGTGGAAATATAGACTTAAATAGTGGAAAGTTGCTCACCCACAACAGGCAAAATTGTCAGGCTGGCAACTGATAGAAGTGAAATACCTCCCTTTTCCACTGGAGGGCAGATGCCTATCAGCTGCAGGAACCTGTGGAAAGTGCAATCTGCCTTGCTTGGAAATATTCTTCTGGTTGAGGACATGGAAAAAAACCCACGTTGCTTGAGAAGGCATAATGAGTTGCTGCCCAGAGTTTCTGAGAACTGCTGTCACTATTTCGTGATATAAAGGAGACAGACAAAGGAACAAAGGAAACTACAATTTCCCCCTGCAGTTGCATCTTCTACCCTCCTTTTAAGTGCTGGAAGGAACAGGCTGATTAATTCCTAACCTCTCTTTCATCACTTAAACTTATAAATATATAAATAAAATGCTTTGTACCAAAACAGTGGAGACTTTTGCTGCCTAAGCTGCAATCTGAAGGGAAACTCGATGATGGCTGTATATTGGGAAGTCAGTGGCAGTTACACTTTTTTCAACTCAAACCTTGACTGTGACTACTGTAACTTGAATTTTTTTAATTTTTTTTTTAAAACAAGTGTGGCTTATGTATTTCTTGTTGCACTTCAAGCAGCTTCTTCAATTCTAATTGGATAGTTTCATCCAAATTTGAATGAGAACATTCACATAGAGTTCATAAAAATGCCTCAAGTCAGTGTCTGTGGTAAGGAGAAGGATAGGAGAACTCAGCTGTCTTACACAGTCTGATGTCAGCCAGTTGGCACAGGAATAGTGGCTTACCAGTCACTCAAGGCAGATCACATAATGTGCTGGCTGGGGACTGGATATTAGAGAGAACATCTGGAGTCACTGGGGCATGGAGGAAAAGAGAAACCAGAGGACACAAATTGGTAGGAAAACAGGCTGCTTTATTTTTGCTGCTTGTTTAAAGTCCTTAGCTTTCTGCAAGGGGCTTCATCAGAATCTGACTCAGCATTTCATTGTTCAAATGCAAAGTTTTTTAGGAGTAGCTGATTACTGGGAAAAATATTTTAATCAAAATATTTCGACAAAACAAGTTTTATTGGCTGTCACTGAGAGCTCTCATATTTACTGCTGCTGTGAGTGAGGATTGTCAGTGTTAACTTTATTTCTTTTCTTTTCTCAGGCATTGCTTCATCTCTGGGTTATGATTGTTCTCCTTACCTACACCCCAGAAATGCATCATGACAGTCCCAGTGGCAGGTAGACTGAGACAGGACCATATGCTGTGTTAATGTGATTTGGACTGGCAATGTCTTTAGAATAATCAGTCCTGAAATATCAGCAAACCCTTTCTTGTGGGGTTTAGGAAGGAAGAAAACCATCATGCCTGATTTATCTCTACTTTTCAAATACATATATAATACTATGTAGCTTTTTCAGCTTACCTAAAAGAGCATAACTTTCCTGGAGAAATAAAGCTGTTAAGTTAAGCTATGGTTAGCCTTTATATTTTATGTAGACCTTCTGGTGGTTAGAGTGAAAGATAAGACTTGCTCCTACAAAGAAATGCAAGGATTTCTGAAATTACAGATATATATGGTACAAATTATTTCAGGTCATACTGGATATGGGCTATGGTCAGGTAATAAACTGTACTTAGCAATTCAAATAAACTTCTTTCTGGTTTCTTTCAGTCTGCTTTTGCACTTCTGTTTTTAACTTTGTAAATAACAGGCTTTTCCTTAATATGTTAAACTGGGAAAAGGACAATGGATTGGTGCAATATATTTTTGTAAATAAGTTTAAGAATAAAATATTATGCATTCTTAGCTTTGTACTTCTAGTACAATAGATATATCTTTCCTACAACTGAGTAGTGGGGCTGCCTATTTAAAGGGTGGTATTTTAGCTTTATTTAGAGAAAGAGAGAGATGGTTTTGAGAGAGGTTTAAACGCTTGAGAAGTAATGGTGTTTCTTTTTGCACTTGAAATTTGTATATTTTAACTGCATTTTCTTATACCTCTTTCATTAGTACATGTCTTAATCAGATCTTATTGAAACATTTATTTTCTAAAGCTTTGGGTACTTAATTAAAACTATTTCTATATGAAATCTATCAAAACATTAAAAATTTCTCATGTCTAAACACTCACCAAATATATTAATAAACAAACCTCATCAAATATTTCTCTTAAAACCCAAAATACCAAACCTACTGTAATAGTTCTGTTGTTGGATTTGTGGCATTCTGTAATTATGAATTATTGATAGACAATCATACAAGGTCACTTTCTTAAGAAATTTCTTGTTTTCTTGTGTGGTGCTCACAGCTGAGTAGTGAAAAGATGTCTACAAGCAATTTGTCACTCTTAGGATATGGCTTGGTTTTCACATGACTGAACACACTCAGCATTAGATCCTGTCCATGAAGTCTGTCACTCTGCCTCCTCTGGAAATGTTACAGTAGACAAATGACTGTATTGCTGTTCTGATTCAGATCTTGCAGAGAAAACTGAAATGTTTTGATGAACTGAGTAATAAAGGAGAGCATTTATTGTAAGTTGTGTCCCTTCCCTCTGTCACATTTGCTTTACTTTGCCTAGTTCCTGTTGTCTGGGTTTTTTTCAATTCTGATGCTGAAGCCACTTTTGAACCCCAGGGAGAGCTGATTGGTATAGAAGGAGATCAGGTAAAAGGCCACTCATTTTCTATAACATGCAGTTTTTTCATCTAAAAGCCTCTGAAACACTAAATCTTGGGATACTCCAGTATATTGTGACTTTGGGGGGGGAACATTCTTAGTGGTATAAACCCCTTACAGCTTTTGTGACAACACACCAACTGCATATCTATTCTTACTTCCTTTCTTCCTCTGTTTTTCTCTTTTTTCTTCCTTTTTTTTTTTTTTTTTGTGCATGTGGACAACAGCTTTTGGATGCACAGATAATACCTTTTTTTGGTGAAACTTACTGAAGCCCTTAGAGTGTTTCTAGAACCCTTTATCATAGATTAGTCTTCATTTCTTCCAGGTTTTATGGTAGAAATTTCACAGGGGTGTGCTACTAGAAGATAACTGCTGGCTTTTGCCTATTGAATTAGGCTCTTGTGTTCCAGTTTCTGTTTGGGTTTAGGCAGTGATGTCTTGAAGCTGAGAATAATGACTTTGGTACAGGGTGCTTGAGCAGCATCAACCCTGTCCTCTGGGCAGTTCTAAACTGTTTCAGAGCTATACAAGAAATAAAGAACTGTTCCTTAAAGGTTTTGTTCAAACACACTGGATTTTTGCCGCCATAATTAATTCTAATGAGCTGCACAATGCACTGCAAGAACATGGAAGGTCATGTTCTCATCTTATCTTCTCTCAGAAGATAAATGCCAAATTTCGAGTTGCAGGGTAAGATACACTCCTGCCTCTGATCAGCAATATTGGGCCCCGATGTCATCTGTATAGATTTGTGAAGTCAGCCACAGCCATGGGTCAAAGGTGACATAAGGATACCATTTTGACAAAGCAGCTCTTCAGGGTGGTGTGTTACTGTCAGGAGGTTACCTTGCTGAACAGATGGCTTTGGAGTGAACAAGGCACTTCTTGTAGCCTCTGCTTAAGTGGTGGGAGAATATTCCAAGAGCCAAGTCTCTTCTTGAGGGACTGTTGTGCTATTGGGCAGTTAAACTGCCCCCCATTCAGAGACCAGAATATAAATTTAGGGGTTTTGAGAGTATTTTACAGATGCTGAGCCTATCTTTCCATGCTTTCTCACTTAGCACCAGAAATAAATAGTTGTCATAGCTAACAGAAAATAGGAATCTGTCTCCCAGCTGCTGTATCTCACTGCCTTGAGAGCAGAATGGGCTGTTGTGTGGCTGAAGGAAAGTCCTTTTTCATTTTCTTCCTCCCAGGACTGAAAATGCTCCAGGTATCAAGCGCACAGTTTGACAGAATGAAAATTATGAAAAATGAGGAAGATGATTGACAGGGAACACCACATTATTTATGTATATTTGTTTGTTCCCTCCCAATTTGTGCTCCATTTCTGTGCTGTGGTCAGAGGGGCAGAGTGTATTATGCCACCTTTCTGGAAGGGGGTGAGAGGAGCTGTCCCCTCTGGGATGGCCAGCAGCAGGCTCAGGGAAAGCGGCTGGCAGACAGGCTGCAGGTGAGGGTGGGAGCTGCTCAGGTGGAGGAGACTGTAGAGGGAGGTAGGGATGGGTAGCAAGAGTGAGTCTGCTCTTTCCCTGACATTTTGCTGCCTAGAAAAAGGCCTGTTTCTTTCAGACCCTGTTCATCTTGGTACATATTCAATTAGGCAGATGTACTTGGAGACAGATTTAGGTTTCTGTGAAAGAGGGCTTTGTGTACATACTCACAAGCCCTCCTGTGGTTTGCCACCTTGGTTTGCTGATATCTGATCTCTGCTTTATTTGCTGTGCTAGGTCAGCCATATATATACTAAGACCCTTTATGACAGAAGTGACTTTATTGCTTGATTGCAGATAACAAGGGAGAAATCAGACTTGCACAGTAATTAATTTGCTAGTTTCTCATCTGTATAGATGAGAAACATATTGCTTTACCAAAGAGAATGGATTTCTTTGCTGACCGACTGCACTCTGTTTATAAAATTTGACATTAAGATATTCCTAGATATTTAGCCATGAAACTGTAAGACTATTACCAAGAATTCATCAGAATTTAATTTGTTTTCATCTTGAATTTAGAAAGCCTTGACTTGGGAACAGGCAGGCAGATGTCAGCAAACCAGAAATTGTGACAGATGAGTAGCAGCTCCCAAAATTATCTGCATTATTCTAGCAGGCATTCATGTCCATGCACTCACATAAATAATCCTCTTAGATACACAGTTTCCTTTCAGAAATGCACTTATGAATTTAATCTTTATTTTACTTGATGTTGGGCTGGTGGCAGAACTGGATCCCACCACTGCATTCCACAAATAGTGGAATGATCTTTCGAGTTCTGCCTACTTAATGCTGCTTCCTGCCAATACTGTGCATCGAGGAGTAAGTGCAAGCTGTTGGAAGAAAACATCTGATACTACAGGCAGCTCAAGGAACTGGGGGGATCGTGGACAGTAGAATAGATCTGAGGCATAAGTGAATCAAGGTGGGCGAAAAGCTTGGTCTGGGAACAAAAAGACACTTTTTCAAGGTGGGGGGGGAAAAACAAAAGTCGCTGATTTATGATTAAAAACCTTTGCTAATGATGTGGTTCAAAGTCTGACAGGTCAAATATCATGTAAGAGACTTCTTAAGAAAGTAAAAGACAATAAAAGAGAAGGAATGACCTTTTTGTGCCATGACTTATGTTTTTCCAATCAAGAATCAGAAGCATGGATGGATGTTTTGTCTGCAGTTGACCTTACCCGTACTGAATTTTAACTCTGTTTGGATAGATGTTGCATGTGCAGCTTTTTACATTTGCATGTTCAGTTCAAATCAGGCAAACTGTATTTTGACTTCACATTTGTTGAAGAGAAGTTGGAAGAGGACAGAAATCAGCAGGAGTTTGAGCTCTGTAGCAGCAAGTGGATGGGCTCCAGATGTTCTACAAAATCAAGCAGCTGTGTTTATTAAAAGTCTGTGATCAGAAATTGCTGCTCTCATTTGCAATAGCTAGGAAAGCTGAAATTAATCAGCTCCAGGAAAACACCTGATATGATACAGGAAAGATCTGGAATTCCTCAGTGAAGTAGGATAGAGTGAATGTTGATTTTTTCACACAGAAAAGAAGTCACTTTTGGCATTCATAGTGAAGAGAAACATTATCACAGATAACACTTTCTCCAGCCTAGTGCTAATATACTCAGGGTGTTTTCTCAATGGCTTATAAAAAAATTATCACCTTAGCACTAGTGTCTTGCAGCAACCTGGAAGAGACATAATTTTTGTATGCAAATTCAAGCAATAATTAAGTCCTAAATTGCTCTATTTAAAAAATAAAGAAGCCTGATGAAAGCATTTACATTGATATCTTTAGTGCGAAGAAAACACGATTCACAATTAGTGTTTAATTTGTAATTAGAAAACATGTTCTGCTGAATGAGAGATGGGAAATGCCAGTTTTCTGCCCAAACAGGTAACTAGTTGCTTGAGAAGATCCCTGCCCATGAATGTCCCATCTCCACAGTGGCCTTCCAGTTTCCCTCCCGCAGCAGCAAGTCAGGAGGCTGCACAGATAGAGCAGATGAAACAAAGAGCAGGAATTAGTATTTCCCCAGCGGTTCATGTTGATGTTCAAAGCTTCCCTGTACAATAAAGCCAGCTTAGCTTGAATTGCCTATTGGTGTCTGCCAACTGGATATGTGGATTGGGACTTTCCCAAGTGGGGTGTCCTAAAAACATATTTAGGCACCTGAAGGAAGGACTCTGAGTTTTGTTTTGGAAAACCTTGATTCTTCTGGGCCCTGTTGTCTTAGTGAACCACGACTTTGACCTTTATGGGACACTCAGCTGGCCACAAGCTGCTCA